TGCTAAAACTACACGGTGGTGGCACCTGTCCATCGCTTTGCGTTCTACACCTTATCGCCTCCGCGAAAGACACGCATCTTTCTCCGCGGGCGCGCACGCCTTCCTTCGTTTTCGAAGATAGCTGCCAGATGGTGCTCGTGTCTAACGTGCCTCGATGCACTCGTTCGCCTCCGCTGCACGCTTGAGGTACTCTAACGCAGCGCCTCCAGAACACCATTCATCGACGATAGTTATAGCGCGAGACCAAAACGACGACACAGAGACAAGAAGGACACGAAAGACACGAGCGCTCGTGTCTTTCGTGTCCTTCTTGTCTCTGTGTCGTCGTTTTGGTCTCGCGCTATAACTATCGTCATGCCATACCAACTAGCCCAAGCTGCCACACTTCTAAGTACCATTCATCGATTTTCTTGCGCAGAACATAAAATAAATGTTTTGTTCACTCTCTGCGGACGCAAGACTATCGTCTTTCGACGACATTTGTAGTGTAACATGCAGATCCGGGGCCAATTTTTTTCATGTGACTTCGTGCAAATTGATACCAAAAAAAAAACAACAACAACAACTTAGCAGTGACATAGCTCGGCCATGCCAGGCAGTGCGTAGCGTGAGCTACGGACGAACGGACGAACTAGCGAGCGCGCTCACGCTATTCGAGCGCCAGCCCTCCAGTGACACGTCACTCCAGGTCTTACGCAGTACGCCCTGTGTGCCGTATGATGTCAGTGCCGCTCGGGCAAGCGCCGCACGCCTCTCGATAAGCCACGCGAAACTGCTCAACCTCGGCCAGTGCAGCTTACTCTATAGAAAGTGGTCAACACTGTTCGATAGGTGACACTGTTTAATGGGTGGGAGGCGTTTAAATAATAACCTATACATTTTTACCAAACGCATACAGATATGTAAACTAAAAAACAAGACTTTGTTTGTATCTAAATAGACATTACTGCGCTAACAGACATCACTTAGGTGCATGTATGAGAACGTTAATGAAGAAGTTCTATGAGATACATTGAAAAAATGGCAGCATATCCACGGAGTGAATGACGGAGAGTGGGGCGAAGCATTCGTCCGTCCATGCGCTCGTCTGTGTGACCGTCCATGCGTCTGTTCGTGCGTCCGTCCCTGCGTTCGTTCATGCATCCGCCCCTGCGTCCGTTCATGCGTACATCCATGCATCTGTCTGTGTGTCCGTTCGTCCATCCATTCAACACTCCAAGTCCCACTATCTCGCATTTTTTCATCATATATTTCCCATATGGAAGCACCGCCATCCAGCGGACATTCCAAAAACTAAACGAGAGGTGGCACACGCACACTTTCTTACGGCTTGCGCTTCGGGTCCACTTCCCACCTTTAACCACCTCGAGTTCATGGTATATACTAGTTCACTGTATTCATGGCACTGCGGCCCAATGCTCGCTAAACCTTTCTAAAACCAAGGAGGTTACGCCCAGCGAGTATAACGTAGCAACCTTTTCCTGTCAGATAATGCTCAATGTACATGCCAGTGGCTGCTAATGTGAAATGAGAGACAGGAGGATTCAGCTTTTAATTTCTTACGGCTTGCGCTTCGTATCTGCTTCCCCCCTTTAACCACCTCGAATTCATTCATGGTATATACTAGTTCATTGTATTCATGGCCCTGCGGCTCAACGCTCGCTAAACCTTTCTAAAACTAAGGAGGTTACACCCAGCGTGTATATTGTAGCAACCCTTTCTTGTCCGATAGTGCTCAATGTACATGCCAATGGCTGCTAATGGTGATCGCAGCGTGCGCGTTGACTAAAAGCCGAATGCTCCTGTCTCTCATTCCCCATTAGAAGCCATTGGCATGTACATTGAGCACTATTTTTTATTGTTAAACAACGCACAGAAGAAATCTCTCACTGGCACCCCACCTTGGAGGTCAAATGTTATACCTATTTTGGGTATGGGCCACTGGTGGTTACGTACTACGAGGGATGCCCAAGCCACGCCATAATGAGCTTCGCCCCTAAAAATGTTGGCATGGGCAACGATTATATGCAGCCTTTGAAGGAGATGTACTGAAAGAATGGTTTGCGTCGAATGGGAAAGAATGAGTGGCAATGAGAACGCTGAAATCTGCAAGGGGCTGAGGTACTGATGTGTTAACCTTATAGACTGTTATTCATGTTGTACATGGCGAGAATGGGAAACAAAAGCACTAGAAGGTAGCAACACTGGCTTTAATCGATCATACAAATAGGGCGGTGTGATGCTTGAGCAGAAGCTTCCAGGTTCATTTGAAGCTGACAAAATTGTCTTTGTTTTTTACAGACAGCCTAGTTGATATACTGCGGCTCACGGATATATGCGGAAGAGTAGGTTAAGTACTAGGGCTAGGATTTAGTGTAACAAATTTTATATTCATAGTATTTAATGATTCAAATGATGAGCCTGTGGAAATACAGGGTCAAGAAATTCGAAAAGCCAGAGAATACAAGTACCTCAGAGTATGGTATGGAATCGATACATAGAGGTACAGAAAAAAGCCCCGGCAGCGATGGGAAACACGAATGCTGCAATAACGAACAACAGCATGTTAAGGGGCATACAGTAGGTAAGAGGTACTTCAAGGTTTGTGGAAATGGGCAATGGCTCCGGGGCTTACATTTTGGAAGTCAGTGGTGTGCATGAAGCCGGAGGTGCAGCCAAGATAGAATTTGAAACAAAGAAATGTGGAACGCCTAGCGTCGGACGCTCTTGGTAAGACTAATAATTAGGCTGTAAAGAGACGGATAAGAGATGATTAAGATATGAGACGGATAAGTTTTGAGGTGAGAGAGTTTAGAACGAAGTTGGCTTCGAATGGAGGCTAAGGAATACGAAATAGAGTAGACAAGCAGAGAAGATGTTCTGGTACTCGTATATATAAGAGGGTTTGCTCGCAGTGAAGAAAAAAAAATAAGAAGACTCACCAGCAAGTTACGGCTAGAAGTTTAAGCGATACGCCGACAAAGGGCGTTGCAGAAAGTCAGAGATGCGGAGAGGAACAATTATTTATATAAAAAAACAGGAATGGGACAAAATAATAAGGAGAGATGCATGCTATGATAATTCAAGGGGAAGCACTTTACTGTTTGAAGTGAGGCCGGGTCGCCTCAGAACGCATGGCTATAAGAGCATATTTAGTAAATAAGAACAATGCACATGCCGCTGGGACGCTATGAAAATGACAGAGCCTGGTCTGACTGAATGACTGAACGACTGAACATCGACTGTTTGGTCATGAGCCTATATGAAGCATTTGGTATTAGGGCCAACACAAAACCGAAAACGTCCCTGATAGAAACAAGTAACAGGTGGTTACTGGAATGGGGGCAGAAAAGTAGAGAAAAAGGGCGAAAGTTAATAGTGCGAAATGTGAGGTCATCCTGCCGTGAAGGACGATGACCCGGGCTCTGAGAATATGTTTTGCTTTTCTTCATGATAATAATATCGATTTAATCTAAGCAGACAATGCACAAGGCCAACTTAAAAAAAAAACGTTTTCTTCTTCTTTCTTTTTTGTCGACACTGGTAACACACATGTCACCACCCAGTTATAAAGGGGACGCTCATGGCATCCATTAATCCTGAATGGCAAGAGATGGACACCGCAAACAGCACCGCTATTGTCGGAAACGTTCGCCATAATATGTGAAGCTGATGGTAAGGTAATGGTACGCGTACGGTACTATCTGTGCCTCCTACAGTAGTGTTAAGTGCCAAAATCACGGTATTATTATAAAGTACGAAGTAGTGGAGAACTTTAACCACCTCAGGGTTGTTAACGAGCATTGTTTGTCTTAATTTCTGTTCACCCCCCGGCAAATAGCGACTTGTGTCGTTATAACCATTTTGGTTATAGCGGATACTTTCTTTGCACGCACAGGGCAAATAATGAAAAAGGGGACATTAGGTTGAGGCCCAACGTCCGAATTTAATGGCTTGGAGATGACGTACAGCCACCCAAAAATTTTAACTATAGAGTGCGTAGAAGCGATTTTATGTGTGCCAGCGCGGTGCAATAGAACTAAATTGTAAAACAAAAAATGTTTTTGTGGCCCTGCACTTTATGGGCACGCACTTGCGCCCTCACCCTTTTTGCAACTTAATTCAGTCACACGGTGCAATAAAACACAAAACATTATCGCTCGCACACGCTTGTAAAGATTTGGCCGACTGCACCTCTGCTCACACAGGGCAGCAAGAAGTGACCGTCTAACTGATTTCGGCAGATGAGTGGGGTTCCGCACTTGCATCACGTTTGCTATCATACCACAGGCTGTGATGCGCCTGTCTGTTGCTGTGTAACACTTCATTCGTGGAGTCACAAATACCAGTGTAGGCAAAGCCACAACAAACACATTTGCAAAATATTACCAGCTTTCCGTTATGGGTGCGCAAAGTCACGTGCTGAATGTCTTCAAAGGGTATTGCTCACTGTGCACGGAGAAGTAGCAATAGAATTTGTTGGAGAACAATAGTATTTGTTTGGAGTAGTATTTGTCTTTGAGAACAAAACAAATACACATTTTACATTGGCAAGCACTTACTTCGCCAATACGTTTTAAGTTTAAGCAAAGGCATTCATTTCTATCTTGCTAGGAAGCGCAGCCACTATTACAAAGAACACACAACACAAGCGCTTTGTGTTCTTTGTAATAGTGGCTGCGCTTCCTAGCAAGATGGATCCTTACCAACTGGCTCGATACGATTGTTCATTCATTTCTGTTTGTATAAACCATATCCTATCCATTTGCCCATATTTTTGTATTGTTCATTGCCATAGATGAACAGTTATTAGTGTGAAGAGGTGGGAAGGATCCTAGATATGGTCGTTTTCGAAAGACCGTACGCGCAGTCATCTTATCATTGGTCTGCTTTTACAACGAGATAAAAGTTACGTGGACAGACGAGTACGTTCCCGCGTATCGTCGACAGGAAAAACTTTTAATAATGCAAGCAGGCAAGAAGGCGAACAGGCTACGTACCCTTCTTATTCTGCAAGAGCACTCCTCGATGCTGGTCAGAGGGACAAAGAGATCCACGTTCTCTTCTTCTTCAACGTCAGAGTCTCCGGCCATGCCCTCTTCTTGTACGGCTTCTCCCTCTTCATCTGTGAGAGGAAATTCTCCGCTGCCAACCTGGGGAAAAACAGAAAAGAAAAGAAGCTTGAGACAGCATACGATGCGACAGGAAAGGTCGCGGTAGAGCTTTATCTTCAGGGTAGCAAGCTGGTTTGTCGAGAGAAAGAGGCAGTTTTGCCGAGAGGGGGAAACTAGAAATGCGAAGGCGCCAAATTGGAATGACATACGAAGAAAGACTAGTGGCTCGCTACTTAAACAAACACAGTGGTTGCATCAAGCGAAGTGACCTTCATATGGTCTATAGATTCAATTCTAACATTTCACTGAAAGAGATAAGTGTGCTCACACAAATTACCACGCCCTGCAGGTTCGAAGTACAAGGTGGGAGGCAAGCTGCGCTACTCCGGCGAAAGAAGAGTGGGGCAACGCCGTTTAAAGCGTGCGCTTTCGGCCTTGTTTTTATGCGCCGTCTCGCGGGTGATATCGAACATGCGTCTGCCACGCTGAAGCATGTCAGAGATGCGCGCACCGCCAACCGTACATGGCGTATATAAATAGCTCACCGCTTATATGCTGCAAGATGTATGCTTTGTGGATGGCCGAGTAGCTAAACGTGCCATGCGATGATGGTCCAATTGACAGTCGCGAGCGAGAATGTCTTACTGCACTGTTTCTTTGTGGAGTGTATATATAGGGCGTGTCCATCTTACTGCTAGCTATGTAAATAGAAAGGAAATAATAGAAGTTCCGTCGGATACGCGTTGTATTGTGGGAAACGATTTCATGCGATGCAGTGAGTGAGCAGTTGCCTATGACGCCTCTTCTCGCTTTGAGCCACGTCTTACAATGTATACGGATATCTCAAAGAGAGTAACGGAAACACTTAATTCAATGTTCTCTTGAACAGTCGCGAAAATGTTACTCACTTTTTTCTTGAATAGAATGTGTCGAATGAAGGATCACCTTGGTGAAGTAGTGAACACCCGCGAATTCCAGGAGCGTGAAGATGACGAAGGAGAAACACATGATGACGAACCAGTCCAGGGAAGTTGGGTAGGGAACCTTGGGCAGGTCTGTGCGTGTGTCCAGTCCGAAAGTGGACAGAGTCAGCACGGTTGTGATGCCTGGCAATGAAAGAGAAAATTAGCGCAGATACAGCTCGAAAGATCCAGGATACGGTGACTATCTTATTCCTCTTTAGAAACGAATGCATGGGTTAACAGGAAGGAACACTGGTGGCGCACACTTAAGCAGTCCCTCGTGAATTTGTGTACGACGACTCGTAGGTGCAAATCATATCCTTTTCCCCTTCAGATAATTGTATTGACGCGGTTAAGTTCTTTAAATTACATGCATGCAATCCGCTTTATATTTAGTATCTTAATTACTGCACCCACGGTATCATATGGCAAGATTTCAACTTAAGTACATAGTGTGGCGGTGAACACTTTGTACAAGCTGCTTTTTGAGTTTTCACAATAATGCAAATAATATTTTGCGATATCGCATTGTTCGCCAATAACAGGTTTAAATATGAACCATGTCATAGAAAAACAATTAACAAATTAACGTAAACAAATTGGAGAACATTAAGAATACGCAGGGATAGCTAAAGCCTTCTTTACGAAGAGTGCCCCACTTCCTCGCACAAACAATATCGATGCGTCAATTTGAAGCTTATCCAGTGCGCACCTCTGAAGACGTTGATAGATAATTTGTACAAGAAAATTTCATTTGATCGGGCAGCTGGGTTTCTGACGTAAAATTTCCGCTAAAAAATAGTACCATCCTGCTTCATTTGTGTACGAATTCTTCGCACCGTTCAGATCACTCTTACTAGGAAATTAACTTCCTAGCGAGTGCAACGAAAATTTTAGTTTGTGTAAACTAGAGATGATTTCGGTCGTACAAGACATGACTTAAATTTATTGCCGAAGCGTACACCCTTGTTACGCTAACCGTAGTAAAGCAAGTGTTTTAGCGACGATTTGTAAAAAGAAAAGGATACTGAGCTTCATCATCAAAGAAAAGAACGAAACATTCAAGGCTAAACTATATGCACTACTGACAGGACTGTCTTCATTTCCCGTAATTACCGGTCGCGCTTGTCTTGCTAGTATAACAGAGAAACTATTATGTTGCTCGGAAACGCAGGAACAATGTGGTTAATGCCAATGTTGAAACAGCACCTTAATGGCCACATGACATAAAATATTTTTTTCCCGTTTTGTCAATGCGTATAACAATTTCTAATGCCTTTTCACGAGCGGAGGCCCATCTCGTGTTCTTTCCGCAGATTTGTGAAATGCTCACTGCACGGAAGTATAGTTTTACAGCTACCATTTCGCGCATGCAACTAATGAGATACACAAGTTTATTGGGTCAACACTATTGTGATTAAAGAAACTTCGTATCGGATTAATTAGCACGAACGTAAAGCCAGAGTCAACAATTCAATAATTCGCATACGGGGCTGATAAAGACAATGATTCTGCCCTATTATGTTACAAGGTATCAAGATTTCCGCCAACTTGTTTCCGAGTGCGTAGCAGTTACTTTACTCACCGAGGCCAACTCTGTCGGCAGTGGCTTCTCTGTTAATCCAGAAGGAAACCCACGAAAGCACGACAATTAAGATGCAGGGGACGTAGACTTGGATTAGGAAGTATCCCATATGTCGTTGCAGATTGAAGTTGACGTGAAGTACCGAGAACAGGCCTAGAAGGGGAGATGTACTTTAATAAACGTAATCCTGCAAGGATCATTAACTTTGGAAAGCCGCAAGTGAGCATGGGAATAATGTTGACAAGATATGCGTTAGTGCGCAGATACAGGGCCAAGTTCAACATTAAAGAGGTCATTATTTACGCAAAGACAAATGACGACTGGTTGTAAGAACAGAGTGTATATATAAGCAATGTATTTAGTAATATTGGTACATCTTGATCGAGACACTGTTCGTAGAAATTGGCGTTCATGTCTTTAATGTTTTTTCAACAACACGTCATACTAATTCTAGAATTTATGATCAAATTATAGGTCAGGTTAAAGGCCGGTTTTGTGAATTTGTTGTTGCTCTTAGCTTGACATAGGCATTTTAAAAAGGAGGTTTCACAGAATTCAGTGAATAAGTTCGTAATATAGTAATGTTTTATGACAAGGGCTCGTTAAATGTAAAAAAAAAAGTGTTACATAGGTTAGCGACCAACTGATGTCACGCACTTGCTAGCAGTTAAAAGTATTGTGGTTTTCCTTTCAGCATCACTTCTGAAACACTTCACGTTTTTGAGGGACATCACGGGAAATGTAAGTGCAGAAAGTGCAAGATGGACATTGTAAAAGAACAGTCTGACCATTTAAAAGGCTATTCAGAAAATCGCAAGGAGAAGAATAAAAATGCTTCACTATGAATTCTGGTTTTGCTTCGTCGTCGCAGCAGTCACATCGGTGTTATCTGATAATAAATATGAACGTAAAGAATCGGTGAAAAGCACGCGTTGTTTCACACTTTGACCAATGAGGCATTTCACCGGCCACTATCGTTCCTCTTGAAGGTAGGCCACTAAAGAGTGCATTTCAAGATGTACTAATATGTATTGAATCACTGTAAAACCTAACGTATTTTGTTTTGCTCGTGAAGAAAACACCAAGGTATAAGCTTGAAAAATTCGCTAATTGAAATCTGCATATTTCGTATTCAGTGCACTCGGTACTCAGCCTTCTTTGATATATGCATGATTGCATAGCATATCGTTCACGCGTACGCAGAGATACGGAGGAGAGATGAACCGTCTAGAATAAACTTGTGCGAATCTGACTTCCAACCGGTTTTCGACACTGCTTGCTTGACAAGAAAGCTGTCAGCTCAAGAAAGTGTGGAAAGCGTTGTCTATATATCCTACCGCCTTGTAGGGGGCACCCTAATAGCGTGGCTTCTAAACTTCCCACAACATGCGTAAGATATGCTAGAAATAGGAAGATAGATTGAGTGTTCGAGATGGCATACCAAGAAGCGTGGAGTTGTTGCCAGCATGCGCGCATAAAGCACTTGCTCTCTGAATGAAAGAAAGAGGTGATAAATGCTGCGATACTGGCCGGCAGCTCGGGTGACAGTGTCGGAGAGTGGCGTGCACTGGCTTTCAGGGCCGTCGGCATTGCGACAGCCCTTACTTACCGTTATTGAAGATGTACGTTGAGTTCCGGTAGGGGTAATTAATGAGGTCGAACTGCGACAGTGCGAGCCCCGGTATCAGATCTACGGGAAGAGTGGAATCCCATTTGTAGACGAGCTGGTCAGCTGTGTAACCATCTGCAGAAGAGACAGAGAGCGCGATGTCTGCACACTTCACTTCAGCTGTGGAGTTTACAGCACTAAAACTCCCTTGTTGGTTATGGGGGACATCAACTGAGGGCACCGGAATGAAATTAACCATAAGTTGCTAAATTTTTTTTTGAGAGAGAGAGAGAGAGAGAGAGATGAAGAGATTTGCATGAAAAACATGGTACGTGCGGGTCTATGAAGGTTGTATAGACACGCGCGTAGGGTGTGTGAGAAAGCGACCACTGAGGCTGGCAAGTGAACCAGCAACCTCACGCACAGCAGCTGCACATCGTAGAGCCTCCCCAGAGACTGGTAAGTTTGCCGTTTAAAGAACGCGTAATCTTTAAGACTTATCCTTTTCTCTTATACTCAAACTAACACTGCCTTCCCCCTTCTTTTCCCTACGACACGCAGGTATAAAAGAAAACGTCGCAAGATTCTACGGTTTCTACGGGGCAAACGAGAAATGAGAACTTGGCGAAACATAGGCGCTTTACAAATGTCCGACCTGAAGGCATCAAGTCTGGCAGACTAGATGCCGATCCGTAGTAGGCGATAGATTATTGGTCAGCGGCTGGCTCATAATAAGATAACGTGCTACGTGGCACCGACAGGAAAAAAGAGATTGTTTCACACTTTTCGTAATGACAACAGTTCGCACTGACCGACGCTCCCACGTTTGAATAAACCTTTATGCCCCATAAAGGAGATGAGAGAATAAAAGCCACCGTAGCTCAGTAGTAGAGCATCGGGCGCGTTAATACAAGATCGAAGGTTCGGATCCTGACGGTGACAAATGATTCTTTTGTCCCATTTTCTTTCTTCACATTTACACTACAATCAGAATATCATCTCCTATATCTTCCTTGCCATGGCTGTCTTTTCGTCCTCATTAATACTGTGCCTAACGAAAAAAACAAGCCCCAAAATTAAAACTTCTTCATAATATAAAAAAAGCATTTACACAAAGATGCGCTTCAACGAAACATAGCGACTGAGAATGATGATCAACACTGGCCAACCTTTGGTACCGTCAGCCTGCAGCTATTACTTGGATGAGGATGCTTATTTCTTTGAAGGCGATGGCAAGTATCTAACAAAGGGAAGTCCTCCTGTTAAAAGTTTCTTGTGTCCAAGGCTTTGTACTCTTCCGTAAAGCCCACTCTGTTGATCACACAGCTGACGTCATTATTCGTGCTTTTGAACCAGTGCCTCTCAAGACCAGCAATGGTCTACAATTAAGTCGTCGTCGTCTCCTCCGTGCAACAGGTCTCAGGCCTGGCCGATCACCCGACTTTGACAGCTGGCTTCGTGGACAACACCAACGTTCTCTACTAGACTACATACGTGAAGAAAACTTGTACGTGTATTTTTAAAAATTATTATGCCTAGAAGCATACTTTAGAAATAAATAAAAAAAGTGCTCGCGATCTTTGCTAACTTTCAAGCTTTCAAGTACGTCAGCAGAAAAAGATGGTTTCTACCATCCTGGCTCTCTGTATGGTCGCGAACGAGAAAAAACGGTAGTCTAAGAGAAAAAGGTCGACAAAGCAATCTCACTCTGCGAAAGCAAATCGCGGCATAGGTGTAAAAATCAGGCGTCGGGGGCTAAGGCGTAAAAAGAAAACAGCGACCAAGGAGCAAGTGTATCAGGTGCCATTGGACCAAGTTGATACACATAAATTCTATTTGGCGGTGTCAACTTACGTGCATCGATAGCCACGAAAGTACTATACCACTTGTTTTTTTGTGCCAGTCAATGTAATTGGATCTTTATAAGTCTGTGTATGACATTTAAAAAAACATCAGTAACGTGTTTTTCATATTCGCAATGTCACGCCGTCTGTCGTCCTGCAAAATATTTTGCATGCACACGACAGAAATAATGCACTCAAAAAACGCTGACGCAAAAAAAGAACAAAAAAAAACGTGGAGACATTATTTTATCTATGCAGTTAGCAGAAGTGACGCAAAGAATTATTTTTATAGCATACATCGTGGTTCCCGAATTTCTTACACCTGGGCCAAGTTGAGCAATATGTTGTAACATTGCCAGGAAACGGTAAAACTTTTAGAGATACAAGGGCAACATCAAAAGAAGTCACACCAAATGGTCATGGCAGTTATTTGCAACATTGCTAAAATGCATGATGAACTTGAGTTGAGAAAGAATAAATGCTAACTGAGCTGTTGAAACCACCGTGTATCCAATACTCACACAAACTTTCACGCTCGAGTTTTTATGGGGTGTAATTTAGGAGAGTTGCAATTACACTTACAGCTGCCAAACGTCAAGGGGCATGACTGTCGGTCCATCGGAAAGCTCTGAAGCTGCATGGGACACCTGGCCTTAATCGTGAGCCTGCGAAAAGTTGAAAAAATAAAAATAAAAACGAGTTGTGGAATTGGTAAGCCCTGGGACAGCTCTATGCATATACTTTTTTTTTTTTGTGGGAGCGTGACCACCACGATAGTTCGATTAGGTACAACTATATAATGCTCTATACTTCGCCTGAAGCGGCAAACAGTTCTTTGCTAAACCAGTGAATGACGAATTCTTCAGATCTTGTCTCATCGGTGAGAATCTTTCCCTCGCCAAGGGAGCGACGAAGTTGTCATAGCGTCACCTCCTTCCATTCACGAAGCGAAACAAATAAATAACACATCAAAAGGAAAACGTTGCCTGCGATTATCTGCATACATTTGATCACTCCGTCAATGTCGCTGACGCACTCACTCACTCAGTGCCTCATTAACACACACACTCCCTCACTTCCTCACTCAGTGCCTTATTAACACAAACACTCACTCACTCAGTCATGAACTAACTCAGTGCCTCCTTATCACAAACACTCACTTGCTCAGTCATGCACTAACTCACTCAGTGCCTCATTACCACAAGCACCCACTTACTCACTCACTTAGTGCCTCATTGATCCAAACACCCACTCCCTCAGTCATGCACTAACTCGCTCGGTGCTTCCTTAACACACACTCACTCACTCAGTCATACACTAACTCGCCCAGTGCCCCATTAACACACTCACTCACTTTGTGCCTCATTAACTCAAACACCCACTCACTCAGTCATGCACAAACTCACTCCCTGCCTCATCAACACAGTCTCCCTCACTCACTCAGTGTCTCATTAACTCAAACAACCACTCACTCAATCGCTCACTCACTGAGTGCCTCATTAACACAAACACCCACTCATTCAGTCATGCACTAACTCACTCAGTGCCTTCTTAACACAAACACTCACTCATTCATGCACTAACTTACTCAGTGCCTCATTAACATAAACACTCACTTACTCACTCACTTAGTGCCTCATTAACCCAAACACCCACTCACTCACTCATGCACTAACTAATTCACTGCCTGAATAACACTCTCTCTCCCTCCCTCCGTCCCTCCCTCACTCACTAACTTAGTGCCTCATTGACACAAACACTCACTCAGTCATGCAATACCTCACTCAGTGCCTCATTAACACACACACTCACTTTGTGCCTCATTAACTCAAACACCCACTCACTCAGTCATGCTCTAACTCACTCCCTGCCTCATCAACATCCCTCCATTCCTCCCTCCCTCCCTCACTCACTTAGTGTCTCATTAACACAAACTCACACTCACTCAGTCAAGCACTAACTCCCTCAGTGCCTCCTTAACACAAACACTCACTCACTCAGTCATGCACTAACTCACTCAGTGCCTCATTAACAGAAAAACTCACTTACTCACTCACTTAGTGTCTCATTAACACAAACACCCACTCACTCAGTCATGCACTAACTGACTCAGTGCCTCCTTAACACAAGCACTCACTCGCTCAGTCATGCACTAACTCGCTCAGTGCCTCAATAACACACTCACTCATTTTGTGCCACTAACTCAAACAACCACTCGCTCAGTCATGCACTCACTCGCTCAGTGCCTCAATAACACACTCACTCACTTTGTGCCTCATTAACTCAAACAACCACTCACTTAGTCATGCACTAACTCACTCACGGCCTCATCAACACAGTCTCACTCACTTACTCAGTGTCTCGTTAACACAAACACCCACTCACTCAGTCATGCACTGACTCACTCAGTGCCTCATTAACACAAACACTCACTTACTCACTTACTTAAAGCCTCATTGACCCACCCACACACACACACGCGCGCACACGCACACACGCACACACGCACACACGCGCGCACACGCACACACGCGCGCACACGCGCGCACACACGCGCACACACGCGCACACACACGCGCACACACACGCGCACACACACGCGCACACACGCGCGCACACACGCAACGCGCACACACGCGCACACACACGCGCACACACACGCGCACACACACGCGCACACACACGCGCACACGCGCACACACGCGCACACACGCGCACACACGCGCGCACACACGCGCACGCACGCACACACGCGCACACACGCGCGCACACACGCGCACGCGCGCACACACGCGCACGCGCGCACACACGCGCGCACGCGCACACACGCGCGCACGCGCACACGCGCACACGCGCGCACGCGCACACGCGCACACGCGCACACGCGCACGCGCACACGCGCACACGCGCACACGCGCACACGCGCGCACACGCACGCGCACACGCACGCGCACACGCACGCGCACACGCACGCGCACACGCACACGCACACACACACGCACACACACACGCACACACGCACACACGCACACACACACACACACACACACACACACACACACACACACACACACACACACACACGACTCAGTCCAAACAAGTAGAGTATTTTGCATATTTTCGGTACAGTAGGCGTGTACCAGGTTACCAGCTCCCGGTTTACAGGCAAAACAAGAATAAAAAAAGAGCCATAAGTGAACTCGTTTTTGTTAGAGAAAGTATCAAAATATATATAAACGTGCCATGTGGGCGGAAATGAGATTACTTATTTCAATGCTTCTGTTCACTATCGGCGGGGTACAGTGTAAAACTAAAGAAGGATATGTATAATAATTGTGCGGGTATTCTGTCCCGAAACCACGATATGATTAATAGGGACTACATGATGAAGTGCTCCGAAAATTTTGACCATATGGTGTTTTTTAACGTGTCCCTGTATCTAGCTGCATGGGCCTCAAGCACTTCGCATATATAAAAGCCACACCAAATGTCTATGGCATTCACGTGCCCCTCAAAAGCACAGAAACTAAGCAATATAACACAATATCGGCTCAAGTTCTGTACTTCACACCTTGCATGTTGATGAGAGCGTAGCGATCGAACCTACTTTTGTACCATAGATCGCGCTCCTTCTGAGAATTCATACCTCAAAAATTATCAATTTTATGAAGGTAATGTGAATGCTATAGCTCGTGAACTGAATAACAGGCTAGAAAAGTGGGCTATAATTCGCTGAACAAATCGTGCACGGAGGGCTTTTTAACGGCGTATTTCATGCCCAGACAGTTCTCCAACGGGCACGAACGCGCTAATTAATTCAATTAGCTATTTCGTTCACGCCTCGGAAACATTGCTAAAACATTTGAAACATGCTCGATGGAGAATGAATGTGATAAACGACGCTTTCCGTTGTTCCTATTCATTTATGAAGGTGCGCTGCTCCGAAAAAATAAATTGTAGTTCAAGAAGAGAGGTTAAGACGGGATAAAAAAAAAAAACTGTGCAAACAGATGCCTTATTTATCAAAGAAAAAAGGAGTAGAAATGGATTGGATCTATGGTATACTACACCGATAGTAGTTGTAGAAAACAAGTGAATAATTGAAGCACATAGCAATCAATAAAAAAATTGAAACAACCTATTTGTTTAGGGCTGCTAGTTGGTTGTACATGACATTGAGAAGAGCCATGCAAGATTTATCACAGAAAGCCAAACAATAATGCACACATCACAAGCGCTGATGTGTTGCCCCTACATTGTGCGTATAGTTGTTTGTCAATGTTTCTTAAATGTTGCGCCGTTCTTCTCAAAATCAAAGAACGGGATTCAGCAATCATTTCGGCTCTGCGCTAATTACTTAGTCCTGCAGCAGCATTCCTCCATTTTGAAGGCAATGATGTAGTTTTTGATTGTTTACACTTTCATAAATAATCGCACTTGTTCACTGTGGCGATATCAGAGAACGTCGCTTGTTAGGCGATTCATTGAGAGGAAAGGTATGACCAAATAAAATTTTAGTAAAGCTTAAGTCACGTTATTATTTACACCACTATAATAGAATATCTGATAAGAGAGGAAAATAAAAGGTGGACTGGGCAAACCTTGACCATTATCTAGTTTTCGGTGCACGCAACTTTCTTTATGGTGTAGCGTAGTTATTTCGTGCAGTTCCTGATCAAGCACTGACCAAATGCGAAAAATGACTGTTGGTGTAATCGCCGTCCTTTGTATAAGGATCGAAACTATCATAATCACTACCAAATGGTCCATCATCATCATCGTCATCATCATCATCATCCTAATTAAATTATCACCTTTGACGGAGAATAAGATGGAGAAAATTTTTATGATCGCAATGCATGGCTTGCGCCTTCAAATCATCCTCGTGAAATGCATAAGGAACACTGTGAACTTTTCTTTCAGGATACGAAACAAATATGTAGACACCAGAACACAGCAAAAAGTAAATAAGTTTTGGAATGAAACAACGAAAAAAAAACCTTATCTCTCTTAGCGGATTAGCTCACGCCTAAATAAAGGAGTATACCTTCCCTACAAATTTACCTTTTCTTTTTAAATTCAAGACTCGTAAGACGAGTCAACTTTAAAGGACACTGAATAAAGAAAGATTCTGGAGCCTACCGACTTCGAGGGAGTGTCTATGAGAACATATTCAAGGTTCTCATCTCCTGGGCTTTGTTTTATCTTGTTTTTATACTGGCTGCTATTGTCAGCCTAGCGCGCATGTGCAAGCTCAGAATGAGCTCATTTTCTCGGAACAGCGTTTTCACACTATGAATATTTTCCGGCTCAACAGGCTTTTATGGAAGCCAACATTATCTGCTCAGTGAAAAAAAATATATAGAAAGGCAGCCATGCTTATTGTGTTGTATTCCATACAAGCAATACGATGACACTGTCGGTGTACGAAAAAAATAACAGACAATGGAGCTGAACAGGAACTCACTAGCTTATTTAATTAGTGAAATAATGATATTCGCATTCGTTTAGGACCTTGCTTGTCCAATCTTCTAATATTTAAAAAAGCCTTGCGAGGATCAAATTCGATTTATTTCACCGAAGATATTATTGAGCAACATGTTATTCCTGGAATACAATGTAACGAATTTCGCTTTTGTTCAATGTGGGGTAGGTTGCAGACTTCATCATAAGTCATACATGTAAGACAGCATCTTGTATGACCATTTTGTTCTGCGCTCCATTAGAGGGAAGCTTCATACGACTAGTAAAGTCTGCTTCCCTTATCGCACCATTTTAATGACAGCGGGAAGACAATAGTAAAATAAATGCATCGTAGAAAGGTTATTACGTGGGTGCACAAGAATGTTCTCATTATACTGTTACCCTTCAGTATAATTTTTACGATATGTAGTAATAAGTAATTGGTTCGAGCGGTGTCGATGCACTTGTTTTCATAATAATACTGGCATGCTGGCTGTGACATGGGCCTAAGCAATACAGATGATTCGTTTAAAGAACCCCTCACCTCTCCACATTTGAAGACGAGCGAGTGGTTTTCCCTCGCCTTTGCTACTCTTCCTACAGGAGATACAAAGTCGCCCAAGCTTCTGTGCTTTTTAATATGTCTCCTTTTTTGTTGGGGTTCAGCGTCCCAAAACCTCCATGTGAGTATGGGAGACACCGTAGTGGAGGGCTCCGGAAATTTCGACTACCTGGCGTTCTTTATCGTGCACACAAATCTGAGCACATGGGCCTACAGCATTTTCGCCTCCATCGAACATGCAGCCCCTGCAGGTGGGTTTACATCTCGCGAGCTTCTAAGATATCTCCTCTTAACCACCAATTTTTTAAAAGCACGTTTATAATGTCTGCACTAAGCATTGAGTCGACGCCTTCTCAATTTTATCAATGCCAGCCAGATGCGCCTGATCCAGCCGTTTACCACCATCTCCTCTAGACATTTCCAGTGCTCACCCATCACTTAGCCGTCGCACATGCTCTGCGGTCATGGGGGAGAGAAACCCTCGAGCAGTGCCTCACGATCAAAAACCTTACGAAGCAATTTTCGTTCAGTTTTGTGCAGATTCGTGGGGCAGCGTCTTGCATTCCTCGGGTTCACAATACTGGCGGCCACGCTGGCTCTGTAAAAGATACGGTGTTTTAAGCTAGCGTATGTAGACCATTCTAGAATATGAACACTATAGACGTCTCAGGACTCGCTCTTCATGCGGCCCGAAGTGAGCAAGAAAGGCGGCAAATGCCAGAGGAGAATAACGCACTCGTATTTTTTTTAGATGCGAAGCTTCTTATAATCAAGCTCGTTCTGGTGTGTGGCGTGACGGTCCTTACAGCATGTCCACGTCCCCTCCTCCTCTCTCTCCCCTTGTACACTTCCCCCTTTTACCTCGCAGACCCGAAAGCGTCTGCTAGACAACGCTCTCTCCTGTTAGCTCTGTCAGCTCTGTGAATCACGTGCGACAGTGATTGCGAAACCACACGTCGCTTACTTTACTCTCATAATCGTTTTTCATCGCGCGTGAATCAATGAAGAATTACACTGAGCAGCTTTGCTGTAAAAAAAATTGCCCCATATCTGCATGTTAATCTGCGAATTTTGTCGAAAGACGATAGTCCTACGTGTGGAGAGAGTGAACAAAACATTTATTTAACTTCTGCGCAAGAAAATTGGTGAATGGTATTCTGGAGACGCTACGTTAGAGTGCCTCGAGCGTGAAGCGGAGGTGAACGAGCCCATCTAGTCACGTCTCACGTGAGACATGAGCGCCATCTGGCAGTTTTCTTGGAAAACGAAGCGTGGGGCTCTGAGACGGGTGTGCGTGCTCGTCTCAGAGGTGATAAGGTGTGGAACGCAAAGCGACGGGTAGGTGCCACCACCATCTCGTCTTAGCAAAGTGCTGGACACACTCGCCTTTTCATGGAAGCGTTGCATGGTCAGCGCAGCGTGATAAGCGCTACGGTCCTCAAAATTGCTTATGTATGCCTTTTCTAGTAAAAGACACGCATGCAGATTATATACTTGTTGATATGATGCCCAGACATGTGCAATAATTGTTTTTTCATTTACAATTGCACAAGTATGAACGCTAAAATTTGAGCAACACTGGTGGGTGCTGCGGATGGGGTCGGCCATTTCAAGTACTACCCGGTACTTGAAAGAGTCGACAAAAACAGACAAATGTACAGACAGACAGACAAACAGACAGACCAGAATTTTTGCTTTTGCGTCGAAGGTCCCCAAAAAAGGCTATCATCTTTAAAAGATACGATTAAAGAAATAACCTCTAATACAAAGCAGACCACCTTCCACTATGATAGCACACACATCACGTACCATTCGAAGCTCATGAACATCAAACGCCAACGCCAATTGTTAGAGGGGCTGTACACTACGGGTTATGACACTCCGCACATTTTAGCCATGTTTTTTCACGCTGTTTTGTAACTATCAGAAACCAGCTGCAGTAAATATTGTTGCAGAACAAAGGGAAAGACTGAAGTGAGGTCTCCTGAATTCTACACATTGCTACTTATACATCAGTCAACTCTAACTGTTACGGACTGCTGAGTTCGAATATTTATTAGATGTCATCGCTGAAAAATACTTTTTTTACTACGCAGGGACTTATTTTTTAGCAGGATGGTGGTAGCTGCATCGGGATGATAACTTCTGTGCAGAGAAAATAATCAGTCTTCCCCAACCTGCAGACCACAGGGTAACGTCCAAAGTAAGTAAAGGAAAAGAGAAATCTCAGCAAGTGGCTTCATTCTGTGCGTCTCTTGGAGAGTAAATCATGGCCAGGCAGTTCCACCTTCACGACCGACTGATCCATCGAAATTCGCGCAGCAAGCGTGACTAGAATGCCGACTCAACAGCTACCGTTTTTCTCCCACCGACATCTTCCCGAAGGTAAGAGCGAAGAAATAAATAAAATGTAAGAGCCTGGTCTCACGAACTTTTCTCGACAATGAAAATAGTTTTCCTTTGTGCTCTGTCTCCAAGCAGGCGTAAAATGCTATTCGAACCTCAGAAGGCAAAGACAGCGATGAGAGGGAAACGAATGAGAGAGAGAGAAAAAGGGAGATGAAAAAGTTCTGCGACTTTAGATAGGAACTAGGCCCTCGTCTTATTGCGTGGTGACTTTCTGTAGCGTCAGCCGTGTGCAAAGGACACAGAAAACCTAGCTGTTTTTAAGGGGTCACCATTGTCAACTCTATTTTACACGATAATTTTGTACAATGCTTTTTCGTATACGCTGCAGCTCGAGAACTCAGACCCATGAGTCGAGTAAGTGTGGTACAACTAACTACACTTTTGCAAACACACAACAAGCACAAGTAACAAAAGTTAACAGAACAACAAGCGACAGCTTAACTTGGACTAATTCTTTCACATTTGTCCCCAGCCCTAAAAAAAATTATTGTTTGTGATGTAAGAGCTAAGATTGGCGTATTAGGATGCGGAATCATCTGTGTGGGCAGTTGCACTGCTAAATAAACTTGGATACTGGAACTAAACTAAGCCTGACATAACTCCAAATATTACAGCAAAAGTATAATAATGCGTCGTTTTTCTTGTGATTTCAAAACTTTGTATTCTTTTCTCTATAGGCTTAAAAGGAATCCGGTGCATTGTCGCATTGCGTGTGAAATAGCAAGAGCCCGTATATACGACTACCCACGAATAAGCAAGTCGCAGCCTTACAAGGCAGTAGCGGAAGTCTTGTAGTAACCTAAGCGTACCAGTAGAATGAACACTGCAATAAATATTACTACTATATAGGGGCAGCAATTATAAAACACCCTAGCTACTTCGTTGACGCAACACAGTCTGCCTAATTATTTAACTAGTGACGCCGCTTCATAATAATGAATCTGCGCCAGCTATACAAAGAAAATGAACACACACGTTCTCAATGTCACATGCATAGCTAACACAGACGAGTGACGTCTTCTACTGTTGTGGAGATGTTTGCAATTCTATCTGCACTACGCTTTATAGCATCCGCAAAAGAAGCACTAAATGGGTCATTTTTAGCGATTCGCAGGCCGCTCTAACGTCACTGCACTGTGGTAGAAAACTCTTCCTAAACGCTCTGCTGTTATATGAGACCTAAAAGAACACGCAAAAGCACGAAAAATGAACTACGTGATCGCATTACAAAATGGATTCCAGGTCACTCAAGCATTCTAAGAAACAATGCAGCAAATGCCGTGGCAAATAGGGCCAACAATAACGAAGGGAGAATTGTTCTGCCAATTTCACACACTGAAGTGTGTCTGATGCTCGGACAGATAACCTGTAGCGTCACCAAAGGGAAGTGGTTCGATGAAAAGTCTAAAAGTTCAGACTTACATTTAATAGACCCTTGCATAAAACTAAACATTCTATCGGAGTTAAAAGAAAATAGAAGATTTGAAACATTGGTCCACCGCCTACGGCTTGGTACAGCATTTACGCGACACTCCCTACACAGGATAAAACGTGCGCCTAGTAAAGAGTATTCCTGCGGCCACACTGACGAAGATGTACGCCACCTACTTCTCGAGTGCCCGAGATATGAGCCACAAAGTAAAGTATTACGAGCAAATTTGGAACTTTAAGATAGAAGGCCTCTCACAGTGACAAAAGTACTGAGTATATGGCCAACTGCAGGTCTCTAGATATAAAGCGCTTGTCACCATCGAGAAGTTTCTTGAAGAATCAAATATTTTATGAAACATTGACCTGCCATATGTGATGTCGCCTTCATGCAAAAGAAAATGTGCAATATTTAGATAGTGTGTTTCATATGTGTAATCATTTGCCTCAGTATGAAGTGACCTTGTGTTTGGAAATTGTGTACATATGTATCTATTAGGTGTATATGAACTGCCATGTGATGTGAGCTAACCTTGTGTGTGGAACATATGAACTTATTAGCCGTATGGGAACTGACCTCTGACGTTTGGCTATTGTGTACTTTCCCATCGTATGTTGTGCAGTCTCGCATTTCGTGCCCTTATTGTTTATCTTACTGCATATTTTGTCTACTAAGAGAAAAAGAGGAGCCAGTGCCACTATAATGGAACCGACCTCTCTATTTATTTGTTAAAAAGAGAAAGCCCGTACAGGTCTACTGCGAACCGGGCTTGGCCTTGTATACACTCTGTTGCTTTACCTCATGGAGTAGAGGACGTCTCCGTTTCGAAATATGCGCAGCAGTTTGTTCGGCTGCGTAATGGTGTGTAGGTAGGAGCCCTTGCCGTTGTGGAAGTAGGTGTCGGGCTTCCAGATGCGTTCCAGCATCTTGATGTGCAGGCTGATCGGGTTGATGGTGCCATTGAACTTGAGCCTCTGATCGGTCCAGCGCTGCCGGAAGTAGCAGTCCATCGAGTACTCCTGCTCCGAGAAGAAAAAGAACGCGAAACGAAAGCTTCAGTGAAGCCCTCCTTCACGGCTTCACTCTTTATACTTGCCTACATTTAGTTTACGGAAACTTATAAGGGACAGATGTGCCTTGAGATCACGAATGAAGTTGATTCAGTGGGGAAACAGTTTTTTTTTGTTTCCATAAAACTATTTTTTATTTTGTGAAGTTTCTCTATAGGAATAGCGGAAAGAAGTTACTGAATGTACTATGTACATTACAATAGCGCTTATCATCACCACAATCATCATAATCATCTTGGCGATTCCGAGTGTAAGCGGACACTGCTTGCTTGCGCACATATGAATCAAAATTGTGATTGCGACCAAGAGGTACAACGTAGCGTACAAACTGCACTAGCTTAACAAAGCAAATATATGCTTTCTCAAACACACGTATCGTCCAAGTCTTCTGTACACTACTTACTGAAATCACTTGACTTTAAAAGCTTTTATGGACAATAAAAGTCTTAACTACAGTGAACTTGGATGTTCTGATATGCCAATTTGGGTTGCCATATTGTTAACTGTGAACTACAAGCAAGAACACGCAACTGTAGCTGTAAAGCTGTATTCTTCCAAGATTATTTTTTTTTATTATTTGAGAAAGCCGGGAAGAGGTTGGCATACTGGGCAGATGCCGGAATCTCCTTTAATAAATCAATAAATGAAAAGAGGGTTTTGGAGTTGCAAAGTGCTTATTATTTCCTTCATTCGAGATCCTAATTCGTCGCTTGTACTGCGGTGGGAGACAAAGTCGAATGCACTCAATATCGCGCTGATAAACTTCTATACACATAGAAGCTAACCGAAAGCGGAGCGACAGTGGTTTGCTGAAGCAAACCCTGCAGTGCGTGTTTCTCAAGATACGACGCCGAAGACTACGTAATCCTCACGAAACTCGAATGGGCACGCCCGAAATGTGTGGGCGCGAAACGGCCTGCGCGAAAAGGAAGAAACGCGATTGGAATCTGCACACTATTGGGAAGCACTTAAATTTAATTTATGGTTGTCAGGAAAGTAGTACGAAAACAAACTTACCATGTCCAGCTCGGAGATGGGCCCCATGCTTCGAATGAGCATGTTAGCCGTAACGCTCGTTGGCCTCACTAGAACGAAAAAGAAAAACACTTATAAAGCGACATATAGTGTCAACGAGAAACGCTATACGTCTACGAATGGGCATGCGTAATGAGAATCGACACGGAGTTCTTCTTTCGAGATGTTGGTTTTCGCCCTATAAATACTAAGCGCACGAGGATTCTTTTAAACCGCCTCCGTTGACATTCGTCCGCAACTATCGCTAACACAATTTTGCTCACTGTAGCGGTGAGCTCTATCATCTCAACCCATGTAGAGTAAAATTACTGCGTTGCCAGTTGTACAATTCCGATCTCTCCCATTTTTCAGCGAGTGGACGTTGCGACGTTTGTAACGGCAGATCTTACTTTTGCTTGACTAATTTCTGTTATTTGCTTTAAAAAAACCCATGTTCTTGCAGATATAGAGGAATATGGATTCCTTTTCCTAGGTTCCCAATGGTTTCCCAAGTAACGTTTAAAAGGAAAGAAGCAGCACATGCGCCGTGGTCTAACCAAGCCTGCTGATAAGGACACCTAAAAGAATGAAATTGACGCTGTGCTGGTTTGCAACCTTTGAAATTATTAGAAATATTATGAAGGTGCAAAATTACATGCAGACGCCTTTTGTCACAATTTTTTTGTTGCGCACTGCTCTTGCTTTTTTTTTCATTTTTTGATGTCTGGTACATAAATCATGCTTCTGTTCCCCTGTCTACTTTGTTGGACTCGTGGTGGCTATACTGCACGCAACTATTAGTAAGCTGTTCGCTGCAGTCAGTGCTCGAAACTACTAGCACTTCTCTTTCGGAATCAAGATACGGTACACAGCATTTTTCTGGATGCCACAATACCCAACTTCGGAAATGTAACAACCGTATTTATTTTGGTTAGCCTCTTGTGTACAAGTGTTACTCAACATTATTCTTATTAGGCTACATTAAGAGTGTTCTGACTGCTGCATAGACTTATCTTTGAGACTGATACTTTTTGGGCAGAAAGGAGAATAATTCAATGAACGCTCATTATTATCGGCGGGCCTTTTGCTGAGGCTGCTTCACCGTACGTGGATCCGAGCTAGACAGTTCGGACGCGTGTTCTGTCACCGCACTCTCAAAACTTCCATCCAGGGGTGTTGGTTTAGCGCAAGGAGCTTGGTTTGCTGAAGCAATTCGGTGATGCGAGAAAACCTCAATGATAATAATAAAAAACATGTACAACTTGTTGTTACATACTATGCGTATTTATGATATTTTATTTGTTATCGTCTAGCAAAGCTGCAGCTGCTTCAATTACAGAACATTTCGCTTCTCAACCATTTTTATGAGAGATGCATAAGGCATATGTTTCAGCGCTTGGCGCGATTTTTGTCTCTTTATTCACAAATTACAAACGGTTGGCTTCTTTGTCACAAGCAGCTCTCGTTGCGTTAGAACTTTCTCGCGAATTAAAAGCGTGACAATTCTGCAGGAACGATATTTACTCCTCGAGAAAATTGCACTTATGAGGTAAACGCCTAGGGTTTACAACACCCAGGAGCTGCTCGAGTTGCTGCTAATACCAATGCGGAATCTGCTAGGTGCCTACGTGAGGGAAACTTCAGAAATCGACGCGAACTTTTATGGTAACGTTTTTTTTTAGAACTGCCCACGAATTAAATGACTAAATGTTCTGTTTCGAGAAGAAGGGCCGTAACATTGAAAACCAAATTTTGTACGACAGTAATGACCCGTTTACTAGATGTCTGCGGGTAACTGCTTAATGAAAACACGGCTGTCAACCCCCTGGAGGACCGGAGCCAAATTCAATAGTTTTCTAAAAAAAGTTCAATAAGCATAATAAAGGTTATATGCAACATGTTTAGACTAGTGACAATGTTTTATGCGGGCAGTAGGGAGGGGAAGGTAGAGGGCGTTGTAAAGAGCAAGAAAAATATTACCGCTATATATTGATGCCCCCCGAGGAACTCCTAAAATGCTAGAAGTTACGTGTGAGATGTGGTCATACAGCAGTTCACCGTACTTTGTAATATGACACAGCCACGACCAGGCTATATTCAGGAGCTTTGTCTGCATAAGAATGCGCTGATACACTATTATTATCGGGATCTGACATTGCGGGCTGAATAATTAAACTTTCATAACAAGTTTTATTTCTCAGCTCTGGAATGATCGTATAATTAACAGTCGTTCCACGACTAAAGGTGTAGTATTATGTGGTGTTTTACGTGCCGAATCACGACACGAATATGAGACACGCCGTGGAGGACAACTGGGGAAATTTGAACCATCCGGTGCTCTTTGACATGCACTGACATCACACAGCGTACACCAGGGGCCTTCACCATTTCCGTGCCGTCTAAATTCAGCTGCCGCAGCAAACTGAAAACCGTGACTTCCGGTTCAGCAGTTGAGTGCCGTAACCCCTGTCCCATCGAGGCGCGCACGACTAAGTTATTTAGAATGTAACGCTATTGTCTACTGCTAGGGACATGGCCGGCAGTTGTTCCACTTGAGCAGCTCCTGAATTGTAGAGTTCTGTTGCCACGTAGCAAACATCCAACGTGGGGACAGACCTCTACAATGAGTTCAAATGTAACTATCTAACAAAAACTTTATGTTTTCGAATTGGCGTCTAAATTTGGTCATTCTGGCGATGGCATCGAAATGCTTCTCGAATTATGACGACGACAAATGCCTTCAGAGATGACCGGAATGTGTCATATTTAAATGAAATCTTTGACAGTCCCCTATTCCGCTGCAAACTTCTTCACTGCCCCTGCCTTTGCGGGGAAAAATTTTTCGACTGTGGTCCGCAAGCTGAGGTGAAACTCCTTACTTACACTATATTAAAGATATCTAGGAACGCATAGATGGTGTTAGTCAAGTAGAGGCACACCTTCATGATTTACGTTTCGGCGCTCACTGCAAGACTGGAACAGCCTAGATAGAGACTTTCAGAGCACTTTTTCACGTACTGGCCTCGAAGCTCGGCGTACCTCCGTGCCATGGCCTCTGGGTGCTGTCGTAGTTGTCGAGCAGCGTTTCCAGCAGCTGACTGGTGAGTGCCATGTCAGACTCGCGGTTGTTGTCCTCCACCTTCTTGTGCATCCGCGAGTTATGAACTGGCCGCGACCACTTGCACGACACCCTTGAGGAGAAAGGTAAGGGTGAGAAGAACAAAGCATGTCCCGGTAGGTGTTGTTTTTTTATGTGTGATGCGATGCGAGATGTTGGCGCACAACTAAAGCACCGGTAATCTTGAGCTCCTGAATGAATCGAGCAGCAGAAACCAAACAAATAAGCATAAAGGTAATACACACACATCATATATATATATATATATATATATATATATATATATATATATATATATATATATATATATATATATATATATATATATATATATATATATATATATGATGTGTGTGTATGTATATATATATAGTCCAACAGATCCTCCGTGAGCGGTCACAACGTGGTTTATTTCGACGTTTCGGCCTAGAGTCTGGCCTTCATCAGGATTAAAGGTACAGTTTGTTGGTGCTCAGCTTTATACAATCTCAAATCAGAGGGAAAGGAAAGAGGAACAAGATAGAAAAAAAAGAGAAAAGAATATAAGGTGGACTCCCCTCGGGCGCCCCCCTTCCACTCTTCCTTCCACTTCCCGCTTCATCTTTCTCCCCTTTCTCCCCTTCACCTTTCTGATGTCAGTGGTCTGTGTATGCTTCCTTTCACTAACGCATTCTTCCCGACCAGACGGCGCCTCCTGGCACTGGCGGTTCGGTGTAGGGCAAAAAAGAGCTCTTTTTTGCCCCACACCATGCGTGAGGAAGTTTCCTGCCTGGTCTTTTTACTGACTTTCACTCTACCACAACATGATGAACAGCCGTCCACAATCGCGGATGTCATTCCTGAATAACACCAGCCACCTTCAGTATCTGGGCCACTAAGCTACGCCAAAGTTGTCGCTAGGCCGCCCCCACCAATTTCAGTGGCTGGTTCGCTTAGTTACACCAACGCCATCAGCAGACAGGGCTTCGAAATAACTGTGCCGTATACATACACCGACGTCTGTCACACCTGTCCCGTTAATTAGGGAGGCAATCGCCGGGCTAATTCTAAGAGCCGAAGTATCGGCCCTCCGAACCGCACCACGAAAGCGTGGACAATTTAGGAGTGGTCCTTATTGGCGCGCCAGCAGACGCCGGCTGTGGCCCAAAGAACAAGTCAGAGCCGAGAGTTGATAAACAAACAAAATTATATTCTCAATAATGGCAGATCAAAAACAACACACAAGAATGCACACTCCACAATAGTTCCATACAATACGTCACCAATCAAACAACGTACTACACAGTACAATCAGCCACACTCAAAACAACGGACACAGTCAACGATACGCACTACAATGCAGTCGCATGCATTGAACAACCAAGACACTTAAAGACTAAAGAGATATAAAGCCTATTCAGTCCAAAGTCCTTGGAACAAAAGTCTGAATGATACTCTTCCGAGAATCACTCACTCAAAGTCCAGCGTTGTTGTCGTTCCGCGCCCTCTGAAGTTTCTCTTCCAGGAAACCTCCCGTCTTCAATTGGCCACTCTTCAAACTTCAACTTCTTCGCCGGAACACGTCGGCTTCACACCCACAGCGGTTGCCCGCGTCTTCGCTCGATAGCGGTAAACCCACGCTCTTGCCTGTAGCTCGAGCCGTCCCTACGGACCAAAAACTTCGCCGACTACACGGCGGACTCTCTACGCACTCTGGCGCTCACTTCCGTCTCCTCCTGTTCTGTCACTACGGGCAGAACCTTCGCCGACTACACGGCGGAATTCCTACGCGCTCCGGCGCTAACTTTCCGTCTTCTCCTCCTTTCTCGTCTCGGCCGCTCGATTAAATACCTTCCGCGCCACCTTCCAGAAATTTCTCGTCATTTCGTCGGCGCGATGCGCAGCGAAGGCTGGGGAGAGGCACGATACGGTTAGACTGCCCTCTCCGGAGGATGATTCACTCGGTCTGACCCCGCCTCCTTCGTTCTAGAAAAAATCGCGGCCTTGCTGGGCCGCCGGTGTGGGGTGAGGAGGATCGTCTGCGAAGCCGTGCTTCTGCGGGGAGAGCGCGCGCCCGGGAGCCCTGGATGTTTGCTTTCTTTTTTTTTCTTTTTACCTCGCGGCGTTTCTGCCGCCCGTTGTCGCAAGGACTTGGCGGCGCGCTCTTTTTTTGGCCCTCGTTCTGTGACAACGTCATCCACATGCCCCGAGTGCCACCGATCATGCAGTCATATCAGCAGCCGCCTCGTACAATCGCGTTCTGCGACATGGATAGGACCCGCGAACCGACGGCCCACTTCTTACGATCACCCCACCTCCTTTGCCTGTGGTTGTGTCGGTCACATCACAAGCCATTGAAATCGCGTGCAGCAGCCTCAGGTCACCTTCAACCCTGCATGTCAATCGAGCCACCGCCTATGTCCCCGTCGTCCTACTCCGCACCATCTACATGCCATTCACCATCTTCACCAATCTCCACGATGACGTCACTCACTGTAGCCGATGCGGCCACGTGCAGTCGCAGGCGATTAGGAAAATTAGTCGTCGCTGTCCGCGAGACAAGGGTTCCGACGCTGTCGAACGGCGAAAGCCCTCCGGGAAGCCCATCGGAAGTGGTAGACGTGCTTGTGGACGGTGTTCGTGCATCTGCCCTTATAGATACTGGAGCCGTCGTATCCGTCATGGACGCAAAACTTAGCCAATTACTGCGCAAAGAGACGACGCCATCTTCCGGGCTCACCCGTTGTACAGCCAGCACCCAAAGCATTCACCTTACAGTAATGTACACAGCCCGCCTCATGGTTCAGGACGTGATGTGCGCTGTCGGATTGATGATAACTCCTGCATGCTCTCACGACGTCATCCTAAGATGGTATCTTCTCTCCCACCGCGACGCTGCCATTCATTGCGCAGCAGCTGAAATAGAGCTCTTACCATTTTTCTATATGACGCTGGCCGACAGTCTATAGGCTGTTAGCAAGGTTCTATTAGTTCCGATTTAAAGCGGCGTCTCGTGGTTCCATGATGTGGACTGTATAAAGGGACGTATGCATCGCCGTTTACAAATTAATATGATATATTTAGAGTGACAGTTCTGACAATTACATGTAAAGAGCGTTTGGCTTATTGGCGCGCGAGTCCTATGTACTTGAACGGGGAGTGAATATGGTAATTTAAAAAATTAATCTGTTTTGAAGATACTACGGTCTCACGACCAAGCAGTGAAACATTAAGAATACCTGACACGATTAAACTAGGTAAATTACTTGGGCCGTGACTCCCAAAGCATGTGTAGCTAAAGCCAAACATCTTAAAAGTCGCTTAGTGGACACAGAATTGAACAAGAGATGAGTAGCGATGTTTAGCTGAATATGAAGGGATGTTCTTTCTCGTGTACTGTGCATAGAACTTAGACACAAATGAACGTTACGAACGTCCGTGAACGGCATGGTATAAGGTGAACTCTTGCCAGTGAAGTGCCCATTTCATGATCATTTAAACTTACGGCTTCATGTCCTTTACGTAACTCGCCGCATCTTTGTTTATATTTTCCAATATTTTTTTCCTTTATGTTCAAAGCCTCAGTCACAGGAAGTTACGTGAGGGTTGTGACAAAGGCATAGCAATTTTTTTTAGGGGCGAAGCTCCTTATGGCGTGGCTTGGGCGTCCCTCGTATGTAACCACCAGTGGCACAGACCCGAAATAGGTATAACACTTGACCTCCAAGGTGGTGCCAGTGAGAGATTTCTTCTGTGCGTTGTTTAACAATAAAAAATAGTGCTCAATGTACATGCCAATGGCTGCTAATGGGGAATGAGAGACATGAGCATTCGGCTTTTAGTCAACGCGCACGCTGCGATCCCCATTAGCAGCCATTGGCATGTACATTGAGCACTATCGGACAAGAAAGGGATGCTACATTATACTCGCTGGGTGTAACCTCCTTAGCTTTAGAAAGGTTTAGCGAGCGTTAAGCCGCAGTGCCATGAATACAATGAACTTGTATATACCATGAATGAACTCAAGGTGGTTAAAAATGAGAAGTAGATACGAAGCGCAAGCCGTAAGAAAGTTAAAGCCGAATTCTCCTGTCTCTCATTTCTCAGTAGCAGCCATTGGCATGTAAATTGAGCCCTATCTGACAGGGAAAGGTTGCTACGTTATACTCGCTGGGCGTAACCTCCTTGGTTTTCGAAAGGTTTAGCGAGCGTTTGGTCGCAGTGCCATGAATACAGTGAACTAGAATATACCATGAACTCGAGGTGGTTAAAGGTGGGAAGTGGACCCAAAGCGCAGGCCGTAAAAAAGTGTGCGTGTGCCACCTCTCGTTTAGTCCTTGGAATGTCCCCTGGATGGCGGTGCTTCTATATGGGGAATATATGATAAAAAGATGCGAGATGGTGGGACTTGGAGTGTTGAATAGATGAACGAGCGGACACACAAACAGATGCATGGATGGACGCATGAACGGACGCAGGGGCGGATGCATGAAAGACCGCAGGGACGGGCGCACAAACAGACGCATGGACGGTCACACAGACGGACGCATGGACGGACGAATGCTTCGCCCCACTCTCCATCATTCACTCCGTGGATATGCTGCCATTTTTTGTCAGGGGAGGGGGGCACCTTTCTTGGTCTGAAGGGGGACTGGGTGTGCAGCTGTAGTTGAGAGTATTTTTTTTTCTTGGTAAGCCATGGCGAAAAAAAGGAGTCGGGGGTAGTAGGCCTGGTGTAGTCCCAACTCGCCCCTTGGTTGAACTGTTTTCTAGGCTTGTGCGAATAGTAAATTTTGGGTTCGAAGCGAATAGTGATTTTGGTTGAATAATTTCGAAGCGAATCTGAATAGTGTATATATTACATAATATAAAGAAAAATGGGCCTATTTGTCATGACCTAACTAACCTGAACAATATTTTTTAAAGAGTAAAACAAGACTTGTGCAAATGCATCATCATCTTTTTGCACCAAGGGGAATGGAAACAATTTTGAATTGTAACAGGATTTGACTTTC